AGCCAGCGTTCGGGGAAGTCCTACTCGGCCAGAATGTTCCTCCCATTCCTTGAGTTTTACGGCTGGCCACAGCTCCCATTTTGGGGCAGTGTACCCATTCTCAAAGAAATAGGACCCGGGAGGCTGAATGTTCGATGGGCTTTCTGGGGGGACTGGGGTCGGGAGCTCCTGGAAGCTTGTGCAGTGCCAGGTGGTAGAGCGAGCTCTGGAGCCCGGGTTTGCCGCCTGTCCCAGCCACCAAGTGGCCACGTGACCTGGGCCAAGTCACTCCCCTCTCTGAGTCTCGGTTTCCCCCTTTCTGAACTGGGAGTTGGATGATCTAACTTCATGGGACTGAGGCAGGATTGCCTGAGACGGAGCACTGAGGCGGCAGAGTGGAGCTCGGCACTCGCCAGGACTCGGTGGCCAAGGCCAGCCCAGGCCGGCAGCCCAGCGGCGTGTGGAGTGGGAGAGGGGCGGACGCCCGTCCAGCGCCAGCTCCCGGTGCCGCGGGGGCAGCTCTCCAGACCTCCCCTGTGGGCCGTCTCGGGCGAAGGGGCCCAGCGTGATGGGCCCTCCACAGCCCCCACGGAGGCGCCCAGGTGACCCTGTGACCCCGGGGCCGGCCGTCTCCCGAGGGGGATGGCAGCAACCGGCTGTTCCCCAGGCCTGGAGGTTCTAGGCAGCTTGCTGGCCTGCCTGGAGGGGTAGGCTGGACGCCACGGTCTCGGGTCATCCGAAACGGGCTTTGTGCGTAGGTCACTCTCCAGGGTGCACGGCGAGGATTCGGCCTTCAGTTCTGGCCCCGGGCTGCCTCCGAGACCTGGGGAGCAAGGGAGCCCACGCTCCCACCCCGAGACCCCCACCCCTCACCCCGAGGCTTCTCCACCCCAGACCTCTGTCTGACACACAAGGCTGTGGCCCTGACCGCCCGCTGACCCGTCTTGGCCCGGCGTGTGTGGCAGGCACGCCCCCAGGCCGCCGGACCTGCACAGTTGCCAGGAGTGCGTCCCTCACAGCAGGCCCCGAGGCTGCTGTGACTTCGGCCCCTAGGGAGGCCCGAGGGCCCCAGGCTGGTGTCCCTCGGGGCTGCGATTCCCACCCAGTGCGTGTGACCCTAAGCTGGGGCCCTGGTCGGGGGCTGTGTGGCCCTCTGCCTCCTCAGAACTGCGCCATCCGGGGCACGTCTCTGCGGTGTGCTCACCTCCCAAACTATTCTTGGGTGCGGTCCCGACGTGGACCCCGGGTCAGGAGGGAGGGCAGGGGGAGTTCGCTGTGCAGATGGCCGGGGTGAAGGCCAACCCTGGCCCAGAACCCTCGAGGCCTGACAGAGGACGCCCCGAGGCGCTCCCGTCCTCTGTCCCCAGAGCCCAGCCCCAGGCCCGTCCAGAGTGCAAGTCAGCAAGTGGATGTTGAGAGAATAAGTGAATGAATAAATGGTTTAATTACAGGTTAATGAAAGCAGAGGTGGAATACCATAGGCCTCAGTGGAGAGGCAAACTTCTTTCAGCTGATGGAATCAAGGCAGGCTTCCTGGAGGAGGGAGCACGGGGAGCAGCTTCCAAAGTGGTGCAGGACTTGAACCCCCAGGGAGGGCACCCCGAGGGTGAGCTGCTGCCCCCGACATCAGCCAATATACTCAAGACTCTGTAGGAGCAGGAGCAGCAGAGGGAGGGCCAGGCCTGTGGCCAAGGCAGTACCTTCTCATTCACTCGGCAAACCCACCAGCCCTGGGACTCGAGCCCCGGCCACAAGAGTGGGGCAGCCCCACCCTCCAGGGCCCAGAAGCACTCTGGGTCTGGAGCCCTGTCTCAGCTCCGACTGGGCCTCGGCTTGCCCGTCTGCAGAGTGGGGCCGCGGGGGCGTCGTCCCTGAGGACCCATCATTTTGCATTCCCTTTCCATCATTTTCGGCGCCTTTTCCAGGGCGGATCCTCAGGCCTCCCAGAGGGAAATCCTCCCCTAAGCACTCTCAGGTGCTTTAATGCTCATCTCTGGGCTCAGCCTCCCAGGCGGGCCCTGTGGGAGGCCAGGAGAAGGCCCCAGCGCAGAGCAATTAAGCAGCATACGGCCCACGGGGCGGGCAGGGCCGGGGTGGGAGCAGAGGCCTGGGGGACCACAGCAGGGGCCCCTTCCCCAGGGCCACAAGGGTGACGTGCCTGTATTGCAAGGGTGTTTTGCCATCATGCCACCCCCTTTCCTTGTTCCGGCGCACCCAGCTGCCCGAGCACAGCACCTGGCATCTTGGGTACCAGGGGAGAAGGCTGAGGCCATGAGCCTCGAAGTGCAGCGACCTTCCGCCCGCTCGACCGCTCCCCATGTTCTGACCCCATTAGAGCAGGATTCAGAGCTGCCAGGGACCCCTTGGTGTCTCCTCTGCTCTCCCTGGCCGGGCTGTTTGCTTCTGAGGGCAAGGTGGTCCCAGGCCAGCCCCGGGGACCCAGGGCAGGTGCTGGGAGAGGGCGGGCCCACAGAGGGTCTTGTTTCTCCATCTCATCTTTGACAAAGGTGTGGTCTGGCAGCAGCTCTGCTGTGTGTTCATCTCGAGACCCCTCCCGGGGTGGGGCAGGTAGAGGGGGCAGGGAGTCTGCTTGGCAGAGGGCAGGGGTGGGGCAGCTCGGTCAGGCCAGGAGGGCCCCAGGGTCTCTCCAGACCCCACCATCCTCACGGCAGACCCCGCCCCAGGTGTGGATCTACCCTCCACCCAGGGGCGCAGGTGAACCTCGTGTGTGGACTCGAACCCTATGCAGGCCCCGGCGTGGGTGGGGGAGTGGTACTGGTTTGCTTGGGCTGCCAGAGCCAAGTGCTGTGAACCCAGGGGCGGAGGCCTCAGAAGCCTCCTGTCGCAGGGTGGAGGCTAGAGGCCCACACCTAGGCGTCGGCTGGATGGACTCCTTCGGAAGCTGAGGGACAATCTCTCCCACCTCTCCCCAGCTCCCACGGTCCTTGGCATTTCTTGGCCCATAGACCCATCGCCCCAGTCTGCCTCCGTGCCCACCTGGTCTTCTTCCTGTGTGTCTGTGCCCCCGTGTCCCCTTCTCCTGAGGATACCATTCTTACTGGATCAGGGCCCATCCCCCCCACTCCAGCGTGACCCCGTCTTGACCAGTTACGTCCGCAATGACCCTAGTTCCAAACACGGGGCTGCTCCCACTGCCACCTCCTCCGGGAAGCCTGCCTCGATTCCATCAGCTGGGAGAAGTTTGCCTCTCCACAGAGGCCTATGGTATTCCATCTCTGCTTTCATTTATATTTAATCAATTCATGTGTTCTAAGGTATTGGGAGCCAGGACTCCAGCCCAGGAGCACGGGCCACAGTGGAGTGCCCCTCACCTGGCTTGGAGCCCGGCACACAGTACATGCTCAGCGAACGGACCCCCGTGCCTGCCAGAGGACCCCAGCTCTTGAAGGCCCGCACTGTTTACACGGGGGATGCCTGGACCGCTTCCCCCAGCCTCCATTTCCAGCTCCTACAGGGAGCGGGGGTGATGATAGTTGAGGTAGCCCTGTGCCCTCAGGCCCCGCCTCGGGTGGCCAGCCTCCTTGCTGCTCTGACCCCAGGGCCTTTGCACTCGCGGCCTCCCTACCTGGACACTCTTCCTCCAGAACTGCCTGGCTCTCTCCTGCTTGAATGTCGCCTTCCCCGCGAGGCCACCCGCCTCTGCCGTCTAACACAGCTCCCCATCACCACTGCACCGCTGCGCCCTCCCCCACACACCCAGCTGTATTTTCCCTCACAGCATTAAAAAAAACGATGGTGGTGAAATGTATCTATAACATAGAACTTACCGCCTTAATCGTGCTGAAGCGCAGTTTGGTGGCCTTAAGTGCATCCACCCTGTTGTACCAGTGTCTCCACCCTCCGTGTCCCGGCCCCTTCCATCTTCCCAAGCCGAAGCTCTGCGCCCATGAAACCGCCCACCCCATCCCCTCCCCCAGCCCCAGGCATCCACCTTTCCACTTTCTGTCCCCGTGAATTTGACGACCCTAGGGCCCTCCGGTAAGAGGGTATACGGAGCCCGGTGCAGTGGCTCAAGGCTGTCATACCACAGTCTGAGAGGCTGAGATGAGGGAATTGCCTGAGCCCACGGATTTGAGACCAGCCTGGGCCACTTGGCGAGACCTCATCTCTACAATAAATCAAAAAATTAGCCGGGCGTGGTAGTGCGCGCCTGTAATTCCAGCTACTTGGAAGGCTGAGGTGGAAAGATTGCCGGAGCCCAGCAGGTTGAGGCTGAGGTGGCCATGAGCGTGCCACTGCACTCCAACCTGGGCGACGGAGTGAGACTCCAACTCAAAAAAAAAAAGAGGATGTCCATCTCCTTTCGCCGAGCATAACGTCCTTAGGTTCGACCATGTTGTAGCCTGTGTTAGAGTTTCCTTCCTTTTCAAGGCTGAATAATACTCCACTGTGGAGCCATGCCGCCTTCTGTTCATCCATTCATCCAGGCACTCAGGCTGCGTCCACACAGGTATAGGCCTGTCTGTCGGGGTGGCTGCTTCCTTTAGGGGCTGCCGCAGGAGCCTGGCAGTGTTTTAAATATCCGCTTGTTTGTGCGCCCTCCATCTTCCTCCCTGGGACACAGGCAGGCAGGGGTGGGCGCTGTCTCTATTTCATTTGTGTTCTGTGCACTGCTGTGGAGAGGTCCCAGGCTCAGTGCACACTTGCGGAGGGCTCCGTGGAAGTCGCCCCTAGCAACGCAGCAGGGAGACCTGAGTCCCGCCAGCCAGCCAGGGCGCCCTCCCTCCCGCGGCTCCAGGCAGTGGTTGCCGGCCATTGCCACCCCCTGAGCCATCTCTCCTCCTTTGATGAAGCCCCATTTTGCCGTTGACAGGAGGGAGGTGACGGTTGGCTGGTGGAGGACGGTCATCCACTCCAGAAAGGAAATTGGACGGCGGCGGCGCCATAGCCACGCCTGGCCCCAGCTCCTGACATACCCGCCCCCCTCCCCCCATGGCCATCCCCCGCTGCGGCACCTGGTGAGGGGGCCCACCCCAGCTGCCTCTGCTCTTGTCGCACAGGCAGCTCTGGACAGATCGATGCAAGCCAAACGATGACCAGTTGTGGCCAGCTGTCCCTGAACGTGCTCGCCGTCCTCTGCTCGTTGCTGTTTTCCGCAGGTAAAGCCTCCCTGGGTGCTCGGGGGAGGGGCAGGCGGCCCCTGTCCAGGGTGGGCGCTGGCCCGGGGGTTCCCGGGACCGACGGGCGCTCGCCTTCAGCTCCCCATCCCAGGGCATGCCCTGCCGTCCCGGGTCTGCTGCAGGAGCTGGGTGGGCTGCCGGGAGCCGGGGAGAGACCCTGGCGCATCCTCTCCGTCACCCCTGTAAGTCGAGCTAGGCAGGGCCGGTCACCCCATTCGACAGATGGGGAAACGGAGGCTTGAGGGAGACCTGACTGGTCTGAGACAACGCAGCGCGTGGGTTCTACCCAGGCGGCACGAAGACCCCGGGGTCCGACCCGCCCCCACCAGACCAGCCCCCCAGGCTGTCCCCGTGACCTCAGCTGGGGTCGCAGGGGCCTCGCACGGTCCCGGAACAAACATGGGCATAAGCCAAGTCCTCCAAACCAGAGCTGACGACCCAGAGAAGCCCCTGAGCCCACTGGGTGACCTCGCACAGCCAGTGGGGCCTGGTCTGAGTAAGGCACCCTTTTCTAGCTCTGTCTCTCTGCCTTGTCTCTCTTTGTCTCTCTCTCTCTCTCTCTCTCTCTCTGTCTCTCCTTCTATCTCTCTGTATTTCTCTGTCTCTCTCTGTCTCTGTCTCTCCCTCTATATCTCTTGGTATCTCTATCTTTGTCTCTGTGTGTCTCTCTGTATCTCTCTCTGTCTCTCCCTCTATGTCTCTGTCCCTCTCTGTATCTCTCTCCCTCTGTGCCTCTCTGTATCCCTCTCTGTCTCTGTCTCTCCTTCTGTGTCCCCGGACCCTCTCATGCCCACATGCTCAGATTGGCACCAACCTGGCGGTTTTCAGCCTTGCCCCCTTGCTGGGGCAGCTCAGAGTGAGAAGGGGACATTGGGATGGGGGTGGGGTGCTTGGAGAGGCCCCCAGGACAGCAGAGCCAACGCCAAGCCCAGGCCGGGCTGGGGCCCCCTCTTACCCAGGTGCCGCCCCACTCCGTGATTGGCTCACCTGGTCCTCCCGCCCCTGGGAGGCAGGGACTCCTCGCCCCATTTTGCCAAGGAGGAAGCAGAGGCTCACAGAGGGAGGGCGACCTGCCCGAGGTCACACAGTGCAGGAGCCGCCCGGTGAACGAGGGCCCCCCAGGACCAGGAGCTGCACTGAGCTCTGCACACGGGTGCATCCGCGGCCTGAGGAGCACGGCTCCCACGGTGCCCTGCTCTGCTTGGGCTGGCTTTCCTGGTGACTTGGAGCCTGTCAGCCTTCTGAAGGAACGTCCCTCAGCCCCAGCGTCCTGCTGTGTCGGGACCAGAGAGGTGCCGCCCTGACTGGCCCTCACCTCCCACGCTCAGCCAGACCAGCGCGGCACTGCTCCTGGGACCCCCAGCCCCTGGAAGGCCTCCTTTCTTCCATCCCTTGTGGGAGGAGGCCAGAGAGACCACAGCGGCCCAGGCGGCCCTGAGCCGAGATGCCCGCCCGGCAATCCTGGCTCCAGGGCCCAGGCTCCATCCACTCAGGGGCCCAGCAGGGGCCCCTTGACACTGCCAAATGGCCAAAGCCAGTGGCAGAGCCGCAGCCAGGTGAGCCAGGGACTGGGCAGGACCCTTCCATGTCCCCTTCCTTCGCCAGGCCTGCCCTCCCACCCGTCTTTGCATGTTGGGCTTCTCCCTAGACCTCAAGGCCCAGCTCAAAGGCCACCTCCTCCATGCTGCCCTCCACTGTCCCTTCTTCCCTCCCTGAGTCCTGGGTAGCCTCTCGTTCTGACTGGCAGCACCGTGACCCCGGTCACTCGCCAGCTGCCCACAAACTGCATGTGAGTAGACCCGGGCAGTGCCTGGACGACAGTGGCTGGAACTGACCACCTGCCTCTGCCTCTCCAGCCTCCAGACTTGCTCCAGTAGGATCTGGGGGTCCCAAACCCAAGCCATCGGCATCCCCTGGAGGGCTTGCTAGGATAGACTGCAGGTCTGCATTTCTGACAAAACCCCAGGGGGTGCGGACCAGGCAGGCACCGAGGCCTGCTCAGTGTTCCCCTTATACAATGGGAATAAGTGAGATCATGTGAGATGTTCCTGTTTCCCAAGGTCAAGGGTGAGAAGGGGGTCTGGAGAGCGCCCCTGACTCCCAGAAAGCCGGGGCCTCTCTCCTGCAGCAGCGGTGCCCGTCCCCACGGAAGCGGGTGCTGTCCTCGGGGAAGGGCCACCCCGGCAGCCTCAGCCCCTGACGCACAAGGGCCACCCGCCCACCTGCCGGCCCAGCCTGGCGGGGACTCCCCTGCTGCAGCCCCGGCGGGCGGTGCGCCGGAGCCGTGTGGGCCGCAGTGTAATAACCTCTCAGCCGACACAGAGTTCTGGGCTTGCTGGAGGCGCTTCTGCAAAGCCCGTGCCTGCCTGGAGGGAGGTGGCGTCCAGCCGGCAGAGCCCCTTTTCAGCGATACAAATGAGATACAGTGATCCCCTTTATGAAGATACTAATTAAACCCGAGACAGCGGGCTCCAGGTTTTTTTCCACTGTTATATTTGTTCAGGCGTTCACTCCTGTTTATCACCATCTGCACGACTCATAAATACCGTCCTGGGGTTTCAGCAGCGTCGGTGGCTGCCGAGGGGCAGCCTGTAGGGGCCGCATTGGTGGCTGGACAGGGGTCTCCCTCTGTGAGGGGAGGGTGGGAGGGTCCCAGGTCGGGGCAGCGCTGCCACCGTGAGGTGGGGTGACTCAGGCAGGCCCTTGGGGATCTTGGAGTCCGGGGCACCAGTTTAGTAGAAACCGAGGCGGGGAAGGGCTGCTGTTTCCATCGCAAGAGGGTCTCACGCTCGTGCTGGTCACCGCCCCGGAGCAGCCTGGGCTTGTCATGGGCCCACCGCCGGCCCGCCCAGGAACAAAGGTTATCAGAGCCAGCGGTGGAGGAGTGGAGAGGGCCCAGTCTTTTTGAGTCCAGGCGGGCCTGGGTTTTCCACCCCTGCCCACCACCACTGACCAGCTCAGGCGAGTCACCCTAGGGCCTCAGTTTCCCCATCTGTAAAGCGGGATCCCACACCTGCCAGGGAGGGTGGCTGTGCGGATTAAATGAGGTGAGCCGGTGGAGCACACAGTAGGTGCTCACTTGAGGCTGGTTTCCTCGTTGAGCACCCGCTGCAGGCTGAGCTGTTTGGGAGGTCCCTGTAAGGCTTGTCCAGCCCTGCCCTCAAGGAGCGCCCGGGCGGGCTGACACAGAGAGAGTAACTAGGGCTGGGAGACCGGGAGGTGCCAGGAGCCCAGAGGAGGCTTTCTGGTAGAGGTGAGGCTCGCAGGGGAGGGGAGAGGCAGACAGGACCCGAGAACAGGCCAGCTGCCCACCCCGGCACCCATGGACTGGCAAGGGGTCCCACGAGCCCACGACTCTCTTTTCCAGTCTTGTCTGCACATTTCCGGGTCTGCGAGCCGTACACGGACTACAAGGGCCGCTACCACTTCGGCTTCCACTGCCCGCGGCTCTCGGACAACAAGACCTTCCTCCTCTGTTGCCACCATAACAACACGGTCTTCAAATACTGCTGCAACGAGACGGAGTTCCAGGCGGTGATGCAGGCGAATCTCACGGCCAGCTCCGAGGGCTACGTGCACAAGTGAGTGTCACGCTGTGGGCACAGCCCCATGGCCTGTTTTCCACTGTTTCCCCACCCAAGTCCCGGCCAGTGGGGAAGCTGCTGGCTCGTCCCTGCAAGTGCAGGTGGGCCTGGAAAGAGTCCGGGAGCGTCTTCAGGTGACCAGGGTTTATGGCCGGTGCTGCCCTCTGAACGTTTGTCTTCTCATGAGAAATGGGCACATTACAACCTCCTCGCAGGGCTATTGAAGAAGTTAAGTGAGGTGGAGTGTGCGGAAGGCTTTTAAACACAGAAGGCTCTTGGGCCTGGACTCTGCTGAGTCCGAGTTCCTCCCTTCATTTATTATTCATTCAACAAACACTGATTGACACTGTTGACGCAGAGGTTAATCTACAAAGTCCTTTTCCTTAAGGTGATTAAAACACACTAAGATCAGGGATCACGGGTATGGGAGAAGGAGGAGTCTTCCAGCAAAAGGCAGTGAGAGTAGCTGAAAAAAGACGTGGGGTCCTGAAACAGCATGCATTTATCTCAGGAATAAAGCAGACCATCCTTCTGTGTGTCTGAGAGCCACTTGTATTTTTTTTTGTTTGTTTTTACTGTGAGCTACCTGTTTATGTCTTTTGCTATTTTTCTATTAAATTTTTGGTCTTTTTCTTATTTATTTACAGGTGCTCTTTATATAGGAAGGAAATATGATGCGTTTCAAAGACTTTCTCAGTGTGTTTGTGTCTTTATGATGCTTTTTTCCTCATGATTAGGTTTTTATTGTTGTATGATCCCATCTTATCCAATTTATTTTTTTCTTTTGTGGTTTCTGGGTTTTGCATCATGCTGAGAAAGGCTTTTGCTGCTCTGGGATCATTAAAAATTCCCCCATGTTTTCTTCCACTTCTTTTGTGTTTTAATTTTTTATCATCAAATCTTTGATCCATCAGGAATTTATGATGTAGGTAGGAATCCAACCTTTCTTTTTTTTTTAGATTGGAAAATGTAGTTTATTTAAAAAGTAAATTAGAGAAACAGAGAAAGAAAGAGGAGATTCACCTCCCCAAGGTGTGGGGAACAAGACCAAAGCCAGGAACATGGCAACAGCCATTATTCAAAGAGCACGTGGCCACACTAGAGTCTAGTAAGGCAATGACCTTGTTTTTTGTTTTGTTTTTTTTGTTTTTACCAACTAGGTAGCCGGTCGCCCCAACACTATTTATTAAATTGGCCACCTTTTCTCACCTGAAGTGAAATGCAAGCTTATCGTATACCACAATATACTACATCTGAGTATCAGGGTGATTGGGATGCGTACGTGGCTTTCATTAATCGGTCTGGCCATAGGCTAGCACCTCTTCACTGCAGTGACCTTTAATATGTTTTAAAGCCTTGGCCTATTCCCCCTGGCTCTTTTGTCTTATGAGCTTTAGAATGAGCTGGCGCTGTTTCCCTGCCCTCTTCCTGGCTACCTATTTGGTAAAAAAAAAAAAAAAATCATTGCCTTACTAGACCCCCTTCCCTACCTTGGGGAGGTAAATCTCCTCTTTCTCTCACTGTCTCTCTAATTTACTACACAAAAATCCAGTTAGTATTTTTTACTGAGCTTGCCTTGAATTCATAGATTAATCCAAGGATTAACTTTTCAGGTTGTTGAATATTCCTATCCAAATGTCTTTCCATTTGTTCAAATCTTCTTTCATGGCATCTTAGCATTTTCTTCATATAGATATTGCATGTATCCTTTGTGTTTATTCCCAGTTATTTCTTTTCATGTTGCTATTATAAGTAGGGTCTTTTCTTCCACGCTAACCCCTGGCTATTGTGTAGGTGAGACAAGTGAAGGATTTTGATATATTGATTTTGTACTTAGCTGCCTTACTGAAATTTCTAATCTTTATAATACTTTTTTAGTTGATTCTCTTAGGCTTCCAATTCTTCCATCTATAAACAATAATGGTTTTATCTCCCCTATTCTTATTTTGGGGCCTCATTTTTTTTTCTTGTCTAATCGTGTTGGCTAGTACCTGTAAAACAGTCTTCAGAATGGTCAGACTTCTTACCTTCTTCCTTCCTGATTTTAATAGGATGCTTCAAATATTTTTCCAGTAAGCATGAGGCAGACTCTTGGGGCAGATGGAATTTTTTCACAGTAAGGAACAAATCTGACTGTCAGAGGTGTTTGTGGAGTGACTGTTGCAGGGACTAGCGGCGCCCCTGGGTGGTGGCAGGGTCGGGATCTGAACCTCGACTTCTGCCTGATGTTGGGGCTATAGGACTCTGCCCCCACGCTGGGCTCCTTCGCGGGGAAACCGCTCCTTCCCGTTGGTCGGGCAGGAGAGGCAGACTCCTTGACTCTCATCCGAGTCTTCCCACCTCCCACCTAGGCCGACTCCCCAGCCTTCCTTCCTCAAATGCACGGGTGCCTCCCCTGAATATCTTGCCATCTGCTCAGCCTCAGAATAATCCTGTGTGTGAAGCCGCTCAGCAAGCCCTGTCCATCACATCGGGGCTGGAGGCAGGCCTGGAATTTGACCCAAGCCTTTTGTGAGACCAGAAGCTGAGTCCCTGAGAGAGGAGGAGAGGCTGGTGCCAGGCCCGGGGAGAGGATCCTGGGGGGCTTGCGGGTACCTGCTGAAAGCCGGAGAGAGGCTTGGCAGAGAAACCCGAAGCAGCCTTCCCCGGGCCTGGCGATGGGGCCTGGGATCCTGGCTGCGAAGCCCACAGGTTTCTATAATCTGCACACGCACACAGGATTTCTCACAGAACACTCCACTGGATGGCACGGGGGTCCCCACTGCTGCTGCTGAATATTGGGCCCCCTGGGAATGTCGCAGATCAGACTCCCCAAGAGGGCACTGGGGGGCAGTTGAGGAGCATGCAGCGTGGACAGGCTCTGCGCTCTGCTCTCCTCCTCGTGCCGTGGAGGCCGCCGGGCAGCCCGTCCTCAGCCCATTTTGCAGGTGACGAGCCACTTGCCCGCTAAAAGCAGCCGGTCGGGGGTGGAGCTAAGAGCCGTGGTCTGGAAGTCACCTTAATAACTCCAGCGTCTGCCTACAGAGGCAGATCCTCATGGGGAGAGCCCACAGGGCCGGGATCGCTCCCCCCTCCCCCCCGCCACCTGGCACCACACACATTTGGTTCATAGCCGTGTCCCGGGCCTCCGCCCACCAGATGCCGGTGGCATCCTCCCCACCGGCCCGGTGGCAACCGACATTGTCTCCTGCCATTGCCAACGTGGGGCGCAGAGTCACCTCCGGTTGAGAACCGCGGCTCTAGAGACACCCTGTCCCATGATCTTCTCGAACCTCCCTTTCTATAGGGGTCCCCAGGGGGTGAGCCCACCCAGAGAAGGACCCGGCCTCACTCCCTACCAGGCCTGTCCTGCTCCCTGTGGCCCTGGCATCGTGGAGGGAGGCGTGGGCCTTGGTTCTGTAGTTTGTTTGGGGGGGTGGGAGCCCCACGTTCCAGACAAAAGAGAGCACTCTGGGCAGAGTCCTCGGTGGCACACAGGATTTCTCACAGACAGGGGGTCTCCTAGCTTTGGGGCATAGGGGCCGCTCTCCTGAGGGCAGTGAGGGGCCCTGGAAGGCTTTAAGCTGCCTCCGTGCCACATGGGGTGAGGCCAGAGAGGACCCAGGAGGCTGGCAGAAACCATGAGGGTGGCCAGGCAAGACCTGGACCCCGCTGGGGGGAGATCCAGAGCTCAGACCAGGGGCCCTGGAAGCCCTCTGCTTAGTGCCCAGGCTCAGAGACTTAGAGGAGGGGGCCCAAGCCCAAGGAGCTGGATGGGCCAGGCCAGGCAGGCCTGCAGCAGAGAGGGGATAACTTGAGGATGTGCCTCGGGGCACCGGAGGTGGTGGGGCTGACATCCTGTGTCATCAGATGGGTAGGACGGGGCCTGCATGCTCGAAGGAACCCAGGAAGGGTTCCCCTCCGGGGCTGTCCGGCCCCTTGGGCCTCAGGCTACACGATGGATGAGATGCCTGTGGTGTCTCATGAATCCTTCAGTGACTCTGGAGGAAGAGGGAGGGGGCCAGGGCACAGGCTGATGAAGTCACCTGTCCTGGGCATGGTGACAACCGGAGTCAAGACCCGAGGGACGCCAGAGCCCTCGTTCTGCCAACCCCCACCCTGACCCCTCAAGGTGTGTCTAGAAAGCCAGGACTTGTGTGACTCTGGGGATGGTGCCCGATCTCAGCCAAGCGGCCGGATGTTCCCGTGTCCCAGACAAGTTAGCATCTGCCAGTGGCCCGTCTGGGTGGCCCAGGCCAGGCCTGACCCCCAGGAGGGCTTTGGGCAGATGCAGGAGCTCCAGGCGCCCCCCACCAGCCTTCCCTGCTGATGAGTCAGCCAGGAGGCGGGGCTGGGGACCAGAAAAGGAGAATGCTCCCATGACTTATTTATTTGTGTTTTTTTCTGGAGGAACAGGATGGTTTGTTTTGGTTCTGGCTGCCTGGCAGAAAGGCAGACAGGCAGAGTGAGAGGAAGCAGCCTTGCCAAACCCACCACTCCATAGGATGCCCACTTCCAGTTGCACAGGCAGTAGAGACAGCTGAGGGCAGCTGGGCGCGCAGGGTTGAGGAGAAGTGTACTGTATGCCCTCCCATGCCAGGGGCCCACTGGCCCAGATCCCTGAGAAGTCAGGGGAAGCCTCTGTCTGGGGCTTGGGGTGGGCCAGGGCATGTGGGAGGAAACCGTGAATTCTCTCTGGGAACAGGGAAGTCTCCCTGGAGGAGGTGACTGGGAGTGGAGTCTTCAGCAATGCGGGGGCATTCCTTCACCAGGCAGATGAGCTGCAGGGGTGGGAGGGGGAGGGCTTCTAGGAAGACAGAACAGTATACACAGGGGGCTCCGTGTGGGCTGCGGGTGAACTGCTATTCCTGCCTTTGCTGTCCGTGAAACCTGTCCCGAGGCTCGCCTTGCCCCCAGGCCAGGAGACGGGACGTTTATGAAGACTGAGCGGGCCTGGCTCACACTGACTCTTTCTGTCCACACAGTCATTACCTGGTGGAAGGAGCTTCCACCAGCTC